CTTAATAAAGTTTAAAATAATATATCTTTAGTTTGACAAGACAGTATCATCGATAAATCTTTCTAATTAGATAACTACATGATACTGTCATGACAAACTAGAATGTGACTGTCATGCAAAACTGGAATGATACGTAACATTTGTTTATTAATAATTCTTAAAAAAATCACGTCTAAATAAGTTTATTAGCGTTAAGATTTACTAATATCTTAACTAATAAAGGAAATAATAATTTATCGCTATTGCTATTCACAAGTTGCATATATAATATTTCGGATAAGTATAGCATGTGAATATTTTGTGGGATCTGTTCATATCATTCTATATTTCGGAACTTTCGCCAGGTTTCGGTTTCGCCAGATTTCGGATATTTCACCAGTTTCGGACATTTCGCCAGGTTTCGGACATTTCGCCAGTTTCGCCAATTTCGGAATTATCGGATTTCAGGTCTTTGGGCGAAACATGTTTCGCCCAATTTCGGAAATTTCGCCTGGGAGAAATATATAGTTTCGCCCGAAACACTAGGTAAGAACTTACCAATTTCAGAAATATTTTTATTTCCAGTGTAACGCTACGGGAGAGCATCCAAAGAACTTATGACAATTTAGTCAGTAGCTTAGACATTAAAGGCGGTTTATCTTAAAGAATGGTAAGTTATATAAGTTATATATTATTGGGAGAGCAAATTCTTTATTTGTTAATAATGTTTTATTTACAAATTAAATGAAAACCAATAAATTTAACTTTTTATGGTCTTATATTGTTATTAGTGATAATTTTTATGATTTTTTTCTCAATTAAATCTTTTCTTAAAATATCGTTAGATTCATACTAATCTTAATTAGTTCCTTTCTTTGGCATCTACTCGTCAAGGATTGATTTTAAAATATGTAGAGTTTTAGAATCTAAACGATATTGGTTTATTATCCGGCATCTTAGTATGATATTCTTGACCAATAATTTTATTATTTCGGCAGAGATGATAGTTTAACTATTTTTAACTATTGTCTTGTCTTATAACTCTTTTACCAGGCAGTGCCTACCTGATAACTTATTATCATTGACCTTAGAAGATTGCGGCAGCATTTCTATTAGATAAAAGAAAAATACATAACTTTCTTTATAATACTATGAGAACTTTCGAATTTCAATTATTTAAGAAATTATCGTATTATAGACTATTTCATTTTTGGTGAGATGTGAAAAATAATATAAATTTATTTGTATAAAAAATAAAATGAACTTTTTAAACTCGGTTAAATGTTTATCAATGATTTCATAAAGTTTTAAATGTAACTCAGCAATCGCCTCTTTTTTAAATTTTATAGTTAATTCCCTGTTGTTTCTGAAAATATTTCTTCAATATTATCAAAAAAAAAAAAAATATATATATATATCATCATACCTGTCCTCTATCAAATTTACAATTATAATGAATTCAAAAGTATTTATCTTATTACTTGTTATTATGTTCTTTGGTGGTCTAGTGCCGTCTATAAACGCAAGGCCAGATTGTCCTGAGCCAGGACCTTCTTGCGACGGTTGGTTTTACTTTAAATTATTTTATTTTTTATTTTATTTTAGACCTTACTTTAAATTTTAAATGGATAAGTTATATTAAAACTTATTTAAAATTATTAATTACAGGTACAGAGGTGTGTATGATTAATTCGAACACCCAAAATTGTACTTGCTCCTGCTGCGATGATAACGGAAAAAATTGCGTACCAAATTTTCCCTAGTTAATGAAATATGAATTTCTGGTTAAATAACGTTTTTTGTCATTATATATTACAAAATTTAAAATTTTTCCTGTCATTTAACGACTTTAAATTTCGAATTTTTTTTTTTTTTTATAACTTATGTTACTATTTTGATTTCATTTAATCGGGTTATATTCTTACTAAATATTATTAAGACTCGGAAAAATCATACAGTTATGTGGAGGTGCCTCATATGGCCTATTTGATAATTTAAAAAAAAATTTTTTTGTTTCTTTGATCGATAACTATTCAATAAAAAGAATTATTATAAGTCACAAAAACAGATTGCATAATAAAAAGTTCTATTAAATAAAATTTAAATCGAGAATTATCATTTTTATTCGGCAGGTGAAAAAAAATCATATTGGATCACAGGATGATTGTTTCACGTGACGTGCTTGTCTAGGCCAAGTTGTAGAACATGCAATAACGGATCAAATTTTCTTTTTTTTTTAATAGCAAATGAACCACCAAGCTGAATTGAGACTATTTGGCATATATATTTACTATTCAAAAGAAAATATTCTCTGCGGTTGAATTCAAACATATAAAACCAGTTTTTAAGTTTTTAATATTATAATTTATTTTCTAATATATTTTACAGCTTGTATCCATAAATGGCTTGGATCTCTAGCACTTCGTTCATCATAATATAATTGATAATCTGCTGGTCTAAAAGAAAAATCTAAAATTTCATCTGGACTCTTAACACTATAAGCTTTAACTATAGGAAATTGCAAATTTAAAGTTCGAGGAAGCGATAAACTAGAAATTAATGAACTATTAAATGAACTATTGAGACTTTTAAGTAGGTTAAAATAATATGGAAAAGATTCAGTAGACTTTACTGCACCACCAGAACATGCTGCGAAAGAAAACCGAGTATTTGGAAATCCACCAACAGATATGGTGGGAACATTAATTTCCGCTAATCCTTGAGTTATCATTGCACATGATGATTGACATATTCCATTCGTCAAAATTATAATATCTTTCTCAGTCCAAGGAAGTGTTGGAGGTGTTGGAAGTTCTAAAGTTCCATAGTAAATTGTTGTATAATTAAAGAAAGCTTTTGAAGTAACACGAGTATCTAAATTGTTTCCAATAAAATCTTTTATGCTATTGAATGAAGAGTTTGTGCTTGTAGAAATATATGATTTATAATGGAATATATCTCCGATTCTTGTTTCAAGTTCTGAAATTTTTTTTATAATTTGTGTAGAAACGTTATTAATTTTCTGATCTACCGGAAAACTTTGTATGTTAGGAAATAAGAGTTTATTGATATAATGTGCAACAAAGACATCTCCACCATAATTATTACTTAAATCCAAAACAATCTGATAGAAATATTATTAAATAATAATTACTTTAATATTTTATATCTTAAATAATTTTAATACAATTATAATTAATTAGACAATATTTGCAGTCAGGCTTACCTTTTCTATACCTTTATCCGCAAGTAATTTAAATCCAATAGCTATATCAGATAAAAAACGATATTTAAGCTCAGAGTTATCATCTATTATAGACTCTGTTGAAATTAAGACCACACCAAAATCTTGTAATATATAAAATCTGGCAATGAATGCATCAAAGATCAAATTTGCTTTGCCAACTGAAGTTCCATTAATGTACGGAGATTTATATTGCGTAATTAACTTAGCATTATTATTAATAGGAACCTGCCATTCTCGTGTGATATTAGAGATTTTATTATCACAATTAAGTGTGTAAGAAATACTTGGATTTTTTGGTAATTGAGTTCGAGATGTAAATAATTGTCTTCCTATGTAAAAATCTCCATATCCAAATGTAAGAGATGCAAGAGCTGAATTAAATCGAGCATTTAAATCTCTTGAATAATATGTGTAATTGCTTGCATATTCTGTAATCACATCAATAGCTGGTCTGCCATCTATATCTACAACTTGACAATCGATAATACTAGGATCATTTATATCATTAAATACTTTGATTTGCTAAAGCATTAGATTAATTAAATTAGTATAGATTTTTTGCATTTTATGGTTATTTAAATTTTTACCTGTATGTCATCTTTATTAATTACAGAATACATGGAGAATCCTTCTTGATGAAAAGTATACTTATGATAATTACCAGAATAGATCCTGTAATAGCATATATACAATATTTTAATATGTTTACAGTTATGTTATTCTGAATAATCATATAGCTTACCAAGTGTGTCCATCTCTTAATTCTCCAATAAGATTCTCAAGATCGTACTAAGATAATTAATAAATCTTTAAATACAGTAATTTGGTGTGTATTTATTGTATATATGATTTATTTATAATAAGATACTTACAATGAATTGAAATTCGTATAAGTAATTATTCTTTAATACCAAGTCTAATTCTGATATTATGTCGAAGGACCGAAAAGTAAATCCTTTCTTTGGTTCTTCTTTTACTTGATCCAATAATACATAGAATTCTTTAAGATTTTCTTTAATTGCCTTTATTATCTATAATTATAAAATTTTATTTTATTTAACTTTTTAATTTTTATACAATATTTTATTATTTTAATTATAAATACCTTAATTGCATTTGTTTCATTATATGGAGTCGACTCATAACAAGCTTTTACATCTGAATAACTAAGAAATTGTTTATCTGAATAAATTGAATTAATATATTCATAAAGTTTATAACAAGCATTTATATTACGTGGAATCCAATGTGAATAAACACAACTAGTAAATGCTATTATTATGAATACTGAAAGATAAATTGCTTTCATTTAATATACGTGAAAATTAAGATTTAATTTAAGTGAATAAATATTTTGTTTATCTATTAATAAATATTTTTATTTAATATTTATTATCTATGAATTTAGACCATTTTATAAATTTTTATTCTATTTTATAGATCATATAAATGCTATTTTTAATGATATTTTATAAATGGAAATATCATTGAATGATTACAAATATCCGTAATTAGTCAAACCAGGTTGAAATTTCGAAAAGATAAATTTAACCATAATAACATGTTCAAATTTGTGAAGGTGTTCAAAAAAATAATTCCGTTTAGGAAATAAATTACTATAAATTTTTAATGTAAATCATTCCAAATTAGGGAATTAAAAAAAAACGGTTTACGAATTCTTAATTCGGAAATCTCTAATTTTAGGTTATTACGTGATGCATTTATATAAATATTAAGGAAAAAGCAGTCCGAAATATAACTCTTATGGATCTTGTATAAACACCATTTGAGTTTTGCAAGGGAAAACCTCGAACTGGCATTATTATCGATAATATGCCGGTTCGAGTTTTCCCTTGCCCGCACTCATTTTATATAATTTTTTTCAATAATCGGTTAATTTAAGTATACGAAAATAAATATTGCATTGCGAGATGTAATATTCAAAGTCTGTGATGATTAGTAATCATCAGTGTTTTAAATATAATAGTAAAATTCCGATTTGTCCGTTTTTTACATTTCGAGTACCGAGATTTTTAAAGCAAGCTGGTACCATAAATGGACCCTGAAATTTAAAGGATAAACGGATAGTGAGACGATAAATTTGAAATTCCTATTTAAAACACTGGTAATCATAATTATATATTGCATCTCTTGTGGAGATGGGCAAATTTATTATGTATTCCTATTTAATATTACTTAACATTATCTATGATTTTTTGAACATTAAGTAATAATAAGTCATCTACGATAATTCTATTTTTAGTGACAAACATTTATATGCTTGTCTAATCTCAGCTTTAATGAAAAGCTTGTCAACGAAGTGACGAAGCGATCACAGATGACATGTAGATCATATGCAAGTTTATGTGTATCCTTTTATGGAGTAACTTGGTACTGTTTGAATCCAAGTATTTTAGGAGTAATACCGGGATAACATATGAATATTCCGAATTCGTTTGTTCATGAATTGAGATTAAATGGTAAGTTAAGGAATAATAAGGAGTTTTGTATGGGAATCGTGGCGTAGGTTAGGGAGGGTTGATAATCAGTTAAGAGATAATGTATTTAAATGATAATTCTTCGGATAGATGTTTTTATCTTTCTGTTCGCTATCGCTCGCCCAGTAGTTAGGGCTGGCTTCGTCACCCTCCCAACCCACCCGATTCAAGGTACTATAAAGAAACCTTTCTTAAGCTCCGAGGTTGCAGAGACAATGCAAGGACTTAAACTAACAGGCTCCGCGGCTGCAAAGGACCTTATAATACGATTTAAAGACTTGAGACCCTTATAAGACAGGTAAGTCGGTACAGGGACTCCACAGCTGCTCAGCAGTTCAAGGACGTATTTGGCTCTGAGACTGCAATAGTAGTGCAATGACCTTATTTTGTCAGGTTTCAGACTCCACGCCTGTATTTACAGTGCAAGAATTTTATGTCAGGTATTTGGCTCCACGGCTGCGTTGCAGTGCAAGGACCTTTTGTTCTCAACTATTTGGCTCCACGGCTGCGTTTGCAGTGCAAGGACCTTACTTACGTTCAAATTCTCTTTCAAAAATTAATATGTTCTCCAGTCGATTCTCGTCATAGCTATGAAAATTTTACAAAAGAAACCCTAGAGTTTAAAGATCTACTGTATTACTGTATTTTATTATAACTGAATAGTCGTTTAGTACTGTATTAGCTCAATTTGACATAGCGAACCTATTCCCGTATGTTATTCGTCTTTTATTATTAACAAAGTTTCTGATCGAGCAATAATAATTAATCATTTCTTACCGTTATTATCATGTGATAGTAATAAGTAAGAATAGTAATATTAATATTAATTAAACGATAAAAAATAAGTATTGATTACTTAATAAATTACTTTGCCCATCCCTGATCTCATGGGACGACAATTAACTTTCGGGATATTGTAGTAGAGCCTTCCAAGTAGGGATTTGATTCTAAATCAATTACCACGCATCACACCGAAAATCAGGAATCTGGAAAAATGCAATCTTTTATTGACTAAAAAGTATTTCATTAATTTGCATTTTTTTCTAAATTCTCGATTCCCAATGTGATACATGGAATTTGTTGATCACAGTAATTTGAAAAGCGCAATAAACAATAATTAATTTTAAAATCAATTTTAATTATTGTCAAGTAATAAACGATTCTAAACAATTAAAAATTTTAGGTCTAATACTAAAAATTGGAATTGATTCTTATAGCAGAAACCCATTCTAAATAGCCTTTGTTAATAGTAATAAATTCTATTTTTCAGATAACAATCATGTTCAGTTAACTTGCATTAGAGTTATGTATCCAAATTGTCATATTTTTTCTTTTTTTTTTAATATCTTTAAAATATTGATGTTTCTACAATTAATAATTTAATACAGTTGAGGATTTTAAAATTAATGTCTGATTTTAGACGAAATAATCAAGGTATTTATTTCGAATTGAGAGATTTTATTTTCTTTAACAAAGTTTATAATTTTCATATCCTGATGTTCTTTTTAACTTTCTGATTTCGGAATTTATAAACAATTTAAGATTTTTTAAACTCTTACTTATTTTCAAAAAAGTTAACTTTGAAACATCCTAATGATTACACTGTTTTAAATATAAAAAAAAAAGCATTAAAACTTAATATTTATTTAGATTTAGTCCGAGTCTTAGTGAGAAAATCACAAAATTTGAAGATTTCTCTTAGTAATTATTACTTTGGTTCTATTGTCCTCTCCATACTATTAGTATCTCTTAGTTTTTCTAGTACAGTGGGACTTTCAAGTCTTTTGGAATCATTTGGCCTAGGAGATGAGATGGACATGAATTTTAAAACTCATCTCCTAGGCCAAATGATCTGCAAATTTTACCCGAATTAGATCTGTTTCGATAAGCTGATTTTTACCCAGATGTGATCACAATTTGGAATGTTAATTGCGTTGATCATATTACTGTGTTAGCACCAAGTAGAATAGTCATGTCAGAAAAATGTTGCACTCACATGACTTTCGACCTCTTCCGGCCTTTGACGTAGACTGATCGATGTTACAACTGATAATAAATCATAGATAAATGAATCGCGTTATTAATTAATAAAGTTTAATTAATAAAGTTTAATTAATAAAATTAATAAAATTTAAACATTCGGGTGTAATAAATCAATACTATATCGAAACTGATCGATGTTACAACTGATAATAAATCATAAATAAAAATTTATAGATAAATGAATCGCGTTATTAATTAATAAAATTTAATTAATAAAATTAATAAAATTTAAACATTCGGGTGTAATAAATCAATACTATATCGAAATAATAATGATAAAATAAAATAATGTATCGATATTTACTAAGTAATAAGACGAATAACATAACGTATCGAATATTTACTAATAAAGACGAAATTGTTATTTTATCAAGTTATTAAAACAATAATTTGTTGATTCATTAAATATTTTATTGCTTTTATTTGGTATTTATATAAAAATTCGAAATAAAATTAAAAGTAGTATAACTGCATGCCTCTTAAGTTACAACACTAAAAAAAAAAGATCTAATTTCACATATAAATCTCTAATAAAAAATGTCTACACCCAATGCATCCTGTAATGCTAGTGAAAGTAAATGGTGTTCACGCTGTAGAAAAATCAAGTTTATTTCTGAATTTACAAGGCAGTATGGAAATAAGATCCAAACATTTGCTACATGCAACCCCTGTTCTGAAAAAAATTGACAAAGTATAAAAGATAAACAGGTCAAAGATAAATTACCTGAATTAAATATACCAACACTTCTCTTCCACGATGACAATGAGGACATAGATATAGATAACGAAGGCAGTGAAGATGAATTAGTTTATGATATGTGTGACCTTGAGGAGTTTATAGCTAATAAATTTCAGAATAATAAAGAGGAAGATAACTATGTCAAATTTTCTATAACAGTAAGCATCGATAACGAATTGGTTAATGAAAAAATAATATCTTCCGAATTTGATCAACATGAAGAAATAAAATTTTGTAATATAACAAATATGCTACTTATCTCTCTCCAGGCAGGGTCAAAATATTACTGGGAGATTTGAGATCTGTATATTAACCAAAAAAATGGTCAATATACAGGATGCGCAACGGCTTACTTAGGCTGTTCGCAAAGAATTAAGCGCCAATATGAACATCAAGATAACCAACCTGCAAAGTGAATAAGTGAAGCAAGACCTGCTATTGAACATTTTTCATGTAATAGAAATATAAAAATTAAATTAGATTTATGTATGCAACAAGTAAAAATATTTGTACAACATGATATATCCCATAAACACCCCACCTATAGAGAAGTAAACTTACCTCTAAATGCTATAGAATGGATAAAACAGAATAATAATCTAAGGTTACAAAATATTGAGCTTTACAAATATCTTTGTGACGAAAATTTAATTGATCTATTACTACACACTTATCAGCAAGTATATTATTGAGTTTATAAGTTCTCAACCAAGCAATATGTGACCGATGTAGTCAATCAAGTAAAATCTACAAAAAATTTTCTCGAACAGAGTGAGTTAATACGTGAAGGATATAAAGTTATTCAATACCGGGAAAATGACTTCGTACATTTACTTGGATTTACTACACCATTTCTTCTAAGTTTAGACAATATCAGCAAAGTTATTATAGATTCGACATTTAAAACAAACTAAGAACATTTTGAACTTTTTGTAGTGAATGCTAATTGTGGTGGATATAGTGTTCCACTTGCATATTTATATGTAGACACATATACAGCACCAGAAGAACGGCTTTTGGACCCTATTAATAATGTTAATACTCGAACTGGTATGCTTAAAGAATTTTTCACTAATTTGCAAAATGAAAACATTTTGCCAGTATTTGTGCTTTTAGATAAAGATTTCAGGGAGATTGCTGCAGTTCAGAAGGCTTAGTCTCAAATAGCAATCATTCAGCTTTGTCTTTGGCATGTAAAACATGCAATCGAATGTAAGCTAAAAGAAAAAAAGGTTCGTAAAAGTCAGTATTTAGAAAATAAAGCATCTGAAGCACATCTGCAATTTAGCTTCATCGATTCAACTTGGTTTCCTAAAGAACAGTCAAGTAACATAAATATAAGCTCTGAAGAATTTAGGAAAGAGCTATTAGATCTAATTACAAGGCATGCATTATTACATCTACTAATACCTACGAATAAAAATACTTTCCTTACTACAGAAGAGATTCAGTACCAAAGTGTTTTGGAAGTTTATTAATTCTGTTATCAAAAAAAACTTATTAATCTATGGGGATATTTGTGGCTTAATTGGTATAACATAAAGAATTGATGTTTGTTCGCTCATGCAAATTACTCAAAAGCAATACCTATTGCTAGGACTACTATAATAACAGAGTCACACTAGCATGTTCTTAAGTATAATTATAAATACAACTCTAACCGGCCACGTTTGGATCGTCTAACACAAATAATTACTAAAGAACTTATTCCAGATATAGAAAACACTCGTCGAAAGTTTTGTTACAACTGAGATTTTCTATCATAGTGGAATAAATTCAAACATGATTAGAAATCTGCAATAGAAAAAAATATAAACATAGCAGACAATTATTATGTTGATATAGTAAATTGGATTTGCTCTTGCTCTACCTTCCTAAATAACCCTTACCTCATCTGTAAACACTTAGCCAAAACATATTTTGCAGAAAATTTGTCTTTTTTTCCTCAGTACCTTAACACTATACACTGTCATAACTACCTATTTATTGCCTTCGAAACCAGCCTTCCAATAATTAACTTTAATAATCATCCTTCAAATAACTTTCTACAGAGCAATGCTATAGAATTTCAACCTGAATTGGATGTATTAAATAGTAATAGTGCAAATATAATTGTTTCTGAACGCTATAATATGATTGAAAATAGAAAAGCAGAGCTATTGTCAGATATGAGAATATTTGAGAGATTAGTAAAGATTATAGATGATAATATCAAAAATGACAGACTTTATAATGAGTATACATTACTCAAAAAGCCACTTGTAGCTAAGACTAATGCATGTATCGAAGCTTTTAATGCAAGGTCACAACAACGAACCTGGAAACTACAAAAAAATAGAAAATTGGTGTTTTGGCTACAATAAATTTTTCTAGATTATAGATACCTATACATGCAACCTATTATAATTAAAAAAAAAAGATTTTATTAATATATTTATTTTGTAAATAAAATCATTCAATCTTTAATATAATAAAATATTATATTTTGTCTTAAACTGCTATTAGAATTTT